AAACTGTCCATATTGAACTTGGGAAATTTGTTCATGGATTAGAAAAACACAGTTGAAATGAGAATGGAAAGTGATACAGGCTAGTTAATATTCCTAATGGGTAGGAGTTCCAAATGCAAAAAAAAGGCATCTGTCGGTGACCAACGAGATAACAGACAACTTAAAATTTAAAAAAAGATAAAATTGCACATGAAATGCTGATGAACGGAGAAAATATGTGCTGTTCAAAAAAGGGAAAGGATTCTGCCGACAGAATACGAGCAGCTTGGGGTTAAATTAAAGAAACAGAACCAAAATAGTAATAATCTCCAGATTACTAGCTGAACCACAAGATAACTGGCACACGGTCAACAAGATTAAAGAGGTGAAAACATGGCTCAAAGATTGTTGTGGGAAGAGCCGGTTTGAATTCATGGGACTTAGCACCACTACTGGGGAAAAAGGGAGCTGTTTCAATGGGATGGGCTCCATCTGAATCATACTGCGACTGGAGGCCTAGAGAATTGCATAATTAGTTCTATGGATAGGGCTTTAAACTAAATATTGGGGTGGGAGGGTTTCAGTTGATTGGAAACTTATGGAAAAATTTAAAGGAGGGGACAGGCTCAGCAGAGGTTATTAAAGTTTCCATGACAAATAATAAGACAGAGAGTATGGAAAGTCTCAGGAATCAAATTGGAGACACTGCAGGTAAGGGGGCAACTATGAGAAGCCGGGAGACAGCGCAGGACTGAGGGCGTTGTACTTAAAAGCACAGAGTATACAGAACAAGGTTTGTAATGCCGTTTGAAATTGGCTGGTATAATGGTGTGGGTATCATGGCTGCAAGGGGATCAAGGCTGGGAACTAAATATCCAAGGGTACATGTCCTATTAAAAGGACAGGCAGATGGGCAGAGGTTGCCTTGCTAATAGGAAATAAAATTAAAGTGATAGCACAAAGTGATATAGAGTCGGAAGGTGTAGAATCTGTGTGGGTAGTGTTGAGGAAAAAGACCCGCATGGGAGTTATGTACAGGCCTCCAGCAGTTGTCAGGATGTGGGCAGAAAATAAATCAGAAGATAAAAAAAGGTATGCAAAAAGGCACTATTACTATAATCATGAGGAACTTCAATATGCAGGTAGAGTGGAAAAATCAGGTTAGTCGTGAATCCAAAAAGAAATTTGTGGAATATTTATGAGATTTTTTGGAGCAGCTTGTGGTAAAGACCACTTGGGAACATGCAATTCTGGATTTGTTGATGTGTAATGGGGCAGACGTGATGAAGGAACTTAAGCTGAAGGAATCCCTGAGGTGCAGTGATCATATTATGACAGAATTCGCCCTGCACTTTGAGAGGGTGATATTGGAATCCGATGAAACGGTATTACAATGGAGTAAAGGTAACTACAAAAACAGGAGGGAGGAGCTGGACAGAGTTGATTGGAGGAGGAACCTAGCAGGGAAGACGGAGGAGAAACAATGGCAGGAGTTTCAGGGGGTTATTCGGGAGGCACAACAGAAATTCATCCCAAGGAGAAAGAAAGCATCAGAGGAGGATGAGGCAACCATGGCTGACAAAGGAAGTCAGGGACAGTATAAAGCAAAATAAAAACCATACAATGTAGTGAAGATTAGTTTGAAGTCAGAGGTTTGGGAAGCTTTTGAAGACCAGCAACTAAAAACAATCAGGGGAGAGAAGATGAAATTTGAGGGTAAGCTAGCTAATAATACAAAAGATTGCAAGAAGATAAGAGAGATGCATGAGTGGACATTGGACTGCTGGAGAGGTTGGAGAGGTGCTAATGGGAAACAAAGAAATGGTAGAGGAACTGAACTGATATTTCACATCAGTCTTCATGGTCAAAGGCACCAATAACATAGCAGCATTTCAAGAGAGTCAGGGACAGAGACGAGTGTCGTGGCCATCACTAAGGAGAAGATGCTGGGGAAGCTCAAAGGTCTGAAGATAGATAAATGACATGGACCAGATGGACTACACCCCATATTTCTGAAGGAGATAGCTCAGAAGATTGTAGAGGCGTTGGTGGTGATCTTTCAGGAATCAATGGAGTCAGGAAAGTTCACAAAGGACTGGAAAATAGCTAATTCAACTATTTAGGAAGGGAGGGAGGCAAAAGATGGGAAATTATAGGCCAGTTAGCCTGACTTGGGTTAATGGTAAGATCTTAGAGTCTGTTATTAGGGATAAGATTGCAGCGTACTTGAAGTGCGTGGTGAAATGGAACAGATTCAGCATGATTTCATCAAGGGGAGGTCATGCCTGACAAATTTGTTAGAATTCTTTGAGGATGTGATGGTCAAGGTAGATAAGGGAGAACCAGTGGATGTGACCTGTTTGGATTTCCAGAAGGCCTTTGACAAAATGCCTCACAGGAGTCTGCAACATAAGATAAGAGCTCATGGTGTTATGGGCAAAGTTCAGGCATGGATGGAGGATTGGCTGTGTGGCAGAAGGCAGACAGCGGGGATAAAAGGGTGGCAGCTGGTGACAAGTGAAGTTAGGCAGGGATCATTGCTGGGACACAATTACTCATGTTATGTATTAATAATCTGGGCGAGGGAATTGAGTGCATTGTTGCTAAGTTTGTAGATTATGCAAAAGTAAGTGGAGGTACAGGTATTGAGGAAGAAGCGGGGAGGCTGCAGAAAGACTTGGGAAGGCTAGAAGAGTGGGCAAAGTAGTGACAGAGGGAATACAATGTGGCAAAGAATGAGGTTACACATTTTGGTAGGAAGAATAGAGGCGTAGACTATATCCTAAATGGGAAAATCTGAAGCACAAACGGACCTGGGAGTCCCAATTCAGGATTCTCTCAAGGTTAGCATGCAGATTCAATTGGCAGTTAGGTAGGCAAATGCAATGTCAGCATTCATTTCGAAAGGGCTAGAAAAGAAGAGCAAAAATGTACCTCTGAGGCTGTATAAGGCTCTGGCCAAACCACAGTTGGAATATTGTAAGCAGTTTTGGGTCTCATATCTAAGAACAATGTGATGGCGTTAAAGGTGTCCAAAGGAGGCTTACAGGAATTATCCCAGGGATGAAGAGCCTGTCATATGAGAAGCAGCTGACTCCGGATCTGTACTCGTTAGTTAGAAGGATGAAGGGAGTCCTGATCGAAACGTACAAAATACTGAAAGGCCTGGATTGAGTGGATGCAGAAAAGATGTTTCCAATAGGGTAGGGGAGTCCAAAACTAGAGGGTATAGGTTTAAAATGAGAGGGGAAAGATTTAAAAGGGACGTAAGGGGCAACTTTTTTCACATAGAGGGTGGTGCATGTTTGGAATGAGCTGCCAGAGGAGGAGGCTGGTACAGTTACAACATTTAAAAGGCATCTGGATAGGTACACGAATAGGAAGGGTTTAGAGGGATATGGAGCAAATGCTGGAAAATGGGACTAGATTAATTTAGGATGTCTGTTCAGAGTTGAACTAAAGGGTTTGTTTCCATGCTTTACAACTCTATGACTCTAATAGGAGATATTAGGACCTGAGGGCACAGCCTCTGAGTGAAGGGAGAACCTGTATGAATTGAGGTGAAGAGGAATTTTTTCAGCCAAAGGGTGGTTAATCTGTCAAACTGATTACTGGAGAGGGTTGTGGTGGCCAAGTCATCGAGTGTATTTAAGGTCAAGATCGATAGGTTCTCAATTAGTAAGGGGATCAAGGGTTACAGGAAGAAGACAGGAGAACTGGGTTGAGAAATATAGCAGCCATGATCAATGGTACAGCAGACTCAATAGGCTAAATGGCCTAATTCTACCCCTATATTTTAAGGTCTCTTGTAGCCACTGTATTTATATGGCTGATCCACTCCAGTTTCTGGTCAATGATAACCCCAAGATGTTAATAGTAATGTTTTGCAATTATCCACATTATTACTTCATTATGCACTAAGTTTCCTATATCAAACTTCAAAATAAATCTAAAAACAATGGAGGTCAAAGAGACTAGGGGGCTTGGGGCAATGTGGCAGGGAGATCCCAGTGTGATAGATCATTAAAATCACCAAAAGTGCTAATTGAACACGGGTGAAGAGGACTAGAATATAAGGGTCAGAATTCATATCCTGGTTAAACTTCACTTTGGAGTACAGTGAGCAGTTCTCTGCACAGCACCTTAGCTATAAGGATATAGAGTGTAAGTGGGAGGTGGGGGCGTGTGGATTTTACAGAGTTATCCCTTAGCTTCAATGGCTCAATTACAAGGTGAGATGACGCAAACTTGGGTTCAATCCCCTGGAATTTAAAAGCTTAAGGGCTGTTAAGGGTTAAGTACTCCAAATATTGTGGAAAACAGATCGAGAGAAACTATGTCCTCTGGTTGGCGTGTCCACAGAGTACAGTCTAAACATTAGAGAGTGGCACGTCTTAGGGTGACAGAAATTAGAAAGTTTCTTCCAGAAACTAAGGATAGCTCAATGGTACCTTTTAAATCTGAGAATGATTGTTTTTTGTGATCAAAATATATTAATGACTTTGGACTAAGGTAACAAGTCATCTATTTCTCTCTAAATAGCATGATGGGCTTATGGAGCCTCCTGTTGTTTTCTACATTCCTGTAGCGCTCTGTAGGCAGGGAGAAAGACCAAGTCATAGACCACAGGACAGATGGCTTCTTTTGTGCCTTTAGACAGACATGGTGACATTCTAATGCTAATCAACAGGGATGACTAAAAGTAAAGATGGCCACTATAGTGATGACCATGCTACAGTGTAGATTAGCAACAGGATCTCTCCTCTGGAATGTGATTTACATTGAATACCTTTTATGCCCAAACAAGTGAAATGATGTGTGCCAAAATAACATCCAGTGAACCTGCCCCAGGATTAAACATCAGAGTGTTCTCAGCTTGTTCTCAGTGTAATTCAATCTCAATGCTCTTGTCAAAGTGAATTCAAAACCAGGCTACCCATGGGATTCCAGAAAAACTAAAGTATCGATACAGTAAAGGAACTGTCCACAGCAACTGAGTAAAACTGTCATGTAATACTCACATTCTGTCCAGGTTCCCTTTGGATGCAGGACTTACACTGTGAGAGAAATACACAGACAAGTCACTGATGTTAACAAATTAACTGCTCAGACCATTGATAGACTAAATCTTAGCTTCACATACCAGCATTCCCCTCTTTGAAAGCAAGGGGAAGGCGATAGCCTAGTGATACTATCACGGGACCCAGGTAATGTTCTAGGCACCCACATTCATATCTTCAGAGATAGTAGAAACTGCAGATGCTGGAGAATCTGAGATAACAAGGTGTACAGCTGGCCAAGCAGCATCAGAGGAGCAGGAAAGCTGACGTTTCGGGCCTAGACCCTTCTTCAGAAATGATCTCTTCTTTCTGAAGAAGGTTCTAGGCCCGAAACATCAGCCTTCCTGCTCCTCTGATGCTGCTTGGCCTGCTGTGTTCATCCAGCTCTACACCACATTCATTTCTTGTCAGGGTAGAATTTGAATTCAATAAAAAAATCCAGAATTAAGAGATTCATGATGACCATGAAAATGTTATCAATTGTCAAGGAAATACCCATCTGGTTCAGTAATGTCATTTAGGAAGGGAGCTGCTGTCCTTTCCTAGTCTGGACTACATGTGACTCCAGACGCACAGCAATGAGGTTGATTCTTAATATCCCTCTGGGCAATTAGGGATGGGCAATACATGCTGGCCTAGACAGTGATGCTCACATCCTGTGAACGTATTTTTAAAAAAGGCACAATATCAATTCCAGGTGTACTTCCATGGAAACCTGACCTGGAAGCTATTCCTCATCGTCCAGACTCTACAGTCAGCGTCAGTCCCCAGTGACCAGTATCAGTAACCACATTGTGTAGGATGCAGGGAACTTAACAAAGATAATAAAGCCACACAATTCCACTGTTTTGAACAAACTAAAATAAACTGTACTACATGATGTTAGAACAATAATAAAATCCATAATACATGTATGATTTATATTCTAACAAACTAATTAACAGCTAGTTCATACCAGATATAGACTGTGATTGAACACCACACAGCATACACCAAATAGCAAATCTGATCAAGACAAGGGAAACAGAGTGCAAGCATAAGAATTTGATGAGTAAAGGAGTGAATCTTAAGGGCTAATCTCTTTTATAAATCTAGTATTTCTTGCTTGCAACTAGAATTGAATTAAAATTTACTGTTTTAAGTTTTGAAAATTTTCTTGGTTTGTGCAAGATTAAATAAAACCTGGTGGAGAGGAGATGAGACTAGTCAATTAAATAGCTGGTCTAATCCAGTTCTGGAACTGCCAGAAAGTTCACTCATCCAAATCTCAAAGGTAGAAATAAGTGACACTAGACTGCAGTGGGCATTGAGTGCAGCTGGAACGGCAGGAAATCCCCAGTGATGGGTGAGTAAGGGAATTCTGTGAGAAAGGCAGGGAGCTTCTCCTTTTTCCAACTTTGTTAGGCTCAGGAAAGCACCCAAAAGGTGACAGAGAGCCAGCAGGAAGTCAGCTCTATGCTCTGAGGGCCGGGCAAGAGTCTGATTGGTGAGTAATTGGTAAGTTATTACACTTATTCGAATGTAATGAATACTTTTTAAGGTTTCAGGACGGCAGGGCAGTTGGCCAAGTGGAATGCCCATTCTGTGGTATGTGAGAAATGTCACCTGTTTCAAAAGTTTGAGCTCCAGGTTTCTGAACTTGAGAAGCATCTGGAGTCACTGATGTACATCTGTGCAGTAGACAACTATGTGGGTAGCACATTTAGGAAGTGGTCACACCATAGGTTAGGAGCATACAGACACTGCCAGGTTGCATAAGAGGACCAGACAGTCAATGCTAGAGTCCTCAGAGTCTATCTTGCATACAAACCATATTTCTATTTTGGCTACTACTGAAGGTGATGGGGAATGCAGCCAGACCCAGAGCCAAATCTGTGGTATAGTTGGTGCCTGTATGGTGTGAACAGGGAGCAGATTAGGAAATAGGGTGAAAGAGCAATAGTGGTAGGAGATTCCCCATCAGGGAATCAGACAGACATTTCTACAGCAGTGAACATGACTCCAGTTTGGTGTGTTACCTCCTTGGTGCCAGGGTCAAGAAATTCATAGAGCAGCTGTACAACATCCTTCTGAAGGAGGAAAATAAGCCAGAAGTCATGGTCCACACCGGTACCAATGACATGGCTACAAAGAGGGATGAGGTCCTGAAGTCAGATTTCGGGGTGTTAGAAAAGAAATTAAAAGGACTGATATTCTCACATGGAAATTTGCTAGTGTTGTCGGGGAGGGTTTAAACTCGACTGACCGAAGATATGAAGCTGAGAATAGCTCAAATTGGAAATTTATCAGCGTGCCTGTGTCACACACATCAGCAAAGATCACGGTGAGGTGATTTGTTTTGCAGTTTTAGGATGCCTGGTGGATTAAAATTGCTCTCTGATGCTACTCAATTTGATGTAGTTCTAGACAAATCTGCAATGACATAAAGAACTCTGGAGAACAGGAGAGTGTCACAGGCTCCCTCAGATGTGTCCTGTCTAACAACACAGGAGTTTCAAATCAAAATGAGCTCACCTCTTCATTGTTCTCCCCTTCTTGTCCAGTTTTACCAACCTATAAGGAGAAAATAAGCTTCAAGATGTGAACTGGTGTTAGGGTTCTTAGCCATTGATTCATTTCCTAAATCTTGTGGCTTTATCATTTGATCACGGTGGAGACCCAACTGATACTTGAACACCCAATCTCAGTGTTGAATCTGGAACAAAACCATCAAATGCTACTGTGCCTAGTGCTTCACAGACCACACTCAAACTGTGTCTGGAGGGGTCAAGCACCTTCAATCAGCTTGTGCCAGTCTTTGCACTGTATGTATGCCACCCTCAGACAGTGTGAAAACCACATGTCAATTTGTCCTGATTTACTTCAGTCTCCTAGTTGTCAGGCAGAGATCACGCTCACTCTTGAGAAAAGACCATTGGTTCAAGAACTACCAAGTCCAGCCTTGCCACTTTTGTGCAATGCCAAGGAAAGCTACTGTCCTTTTGTTGAAGAGTTGAACTAAAAGTTGGCCATCAGTTGAATAAAAACCAGAGAAAAGGCTGTTTGACTGACAGTCATGAATCATCAAATGGAGTAATACAGAATCTTTTTAATTGATGTGGGACTCAGGGACTCTGTGATGGTAGGTATTGGGTGACAAATGGGTGGGGGGGTCATGTGCTGAAGTGTCCAAGAATACAGTGAGCCAGTAACTAATAATGCAGTCAAACTCTAGAGACTCCAATCTGCTCAAATTCTGCACCCTACTGGCCAGGTAAAATACAGAAAAAAACAACAGTAATACTTGGAAATTAACGTACTGGCTGTACAGAACTTCCAGTTTGAAGATTACAAGGCAAGTTGAATCAGTATGTCACATTTGCCAATTTTACCGTTCTTTTCCTTCTGCCCCCAAGGCACATTTTGGGTGTAATCTGAAGCAGGAGGTTCAAAGGTCAGTTACAACACCATGACTATCCAAACACAGTGAGTTTCTGACCTGACACTACTTCCAGTACTTTCTGTTTTGCTTTGAGATTGGCAACTCGTTGTTTCTCTCTATACCGGGGATTATTGTAGCCGGGGATTTCAGCTGGGATGGTGAGGTTCCAGAATGCATTAAGATTAATAAGGAAAAGGCATTAGATGTTTCACCAGACATAAAGATGCATAAATCCCCAGGGCCTGATGAGATGCATCCCTGACTACTTTAGGAAGCAAGCAAGGAGATTGGTGGGGCCTTGGCAGAGATATTTAACACTTCACTGACCAAGGGTGAAGTGCCAAGTGTCTGGAGGAGAGCAGGGATAGGGCAGGTAATTACAGAGCACTTAGTCTAATGTCAGTGGTAGGGAATTTATGGGAACAAATTCTGAGGAATAGGATTCATCAACACGGCAGGGATTGATCAAGGATAGTCAGCACAGATTTGTTAGACACAGATCCTATCTGATTAATTTAAAGTAAGTTTTTTGAAAAGGTGACTAAAAAGGTGACAAAATGATCAGAGGTGTAGATAGAGTAAACAGCCAGAGACTTTTTCCTAGGGTGGAGGTAGCTATTACGAGAGGGCATAGTTTTAAAGTGAGTGGAGGTAGATATAGGGGAGACGTCAGAGGTAGGTTCTTTACTCGGAGAGTGGTCAGGGCGTGGAATGCATTGCCGGAGAGGGTAGTGGAGTCGGCCACATTAGGGGCACTTAAGCGGCTATTAGATAGGCATATGGATGATAGTATAAGGCAGGGGTGGAGGTTAGATAGACCTTAGGATTAGGGTAAAAGTTTGGCACAACGTCGTGGGCCGAAGGGCCTGTACTGTGCTGTACTGTTCTATGTTCTATGTTCTAAATATATTGATCAGTACAGTTGATGTGATTTACATGGACTTCAGTGAGGCCTTTGACAAGGTCCCACATGGAAAGCTGATCCGAAAGGTAAGAGCCCATGGGATCCAAGGCAATGTTGGCAAACTGGTTCCAAAATTGGTTTAAAAATAGAAGGGAGAGGATGATGGTGGAGGATTGTTTATGTGTTTAGAAACATGTGACCAGCCATGTATCACAGTGATTGGTGTTGAGACCCTTGCTGTTTGTTATGTACCTTAACAACTCAGATGTGAACGTAGAAGGTGTAATTAGTAAGTTTGCAGATGACACTAAATTGGGGTCCAACTCATCTGCACCAACCAGACATCCCAATCTGGCCTAGTCCCATTTGCCATCATTTGGCCTGTATCCTTCTAAACCCTTCCTATACCCATCAAGCTACCATTTAAATATTGTAATTGTACCAGCATCCACCACTTCCTCTGGCAGCTCATTCTATACATGCACCATCCTCTGCATGAAAAAGTTACCCCTTAGGTCCCTTTTAAATCTTTCCCCTCTCTCTTTAAACCTATGCCCTCTAGTTTTGAACTCCCTCACCTTAGGAAAAAGACCTTTGTTACTCACCCTATTCATGCCCCTCATGATTTTATAAACTTCTATAAGGTCACCCCTCAGTCTCTGATGCTGCAGGGAAAATAGCCCCAGCCTATTCAGCCTCTCCCTATAACTCAAACCCTCCAGTCCTGGCAAACCCTCTCAAGTTTAACAACATCCTTTCTATAGAAGGGCAACCAGAACTGTATGTAGTATTCTAAATGTGGCCTTATCAATGTTCCATACAGTTGCAACATGACATCCTAACTCATAAACTCAATGTTCTGACCAATGAAGGCAAGCATGCTAAATGACTTCTTCACCAACCTGTCTACCTGCAACTTCACTTTCAAGAAACTATGCATTTGCACCCTCAGGTCTCTTTATTCAGGGCCCTACCATTAAGTGCCATTAAGCCCTGCCATGGTTTGCCTTACCAAAATGCAACACCTCGCACTTATCTAAATTAAACCACATCTGCCACTCCTCGGAGGTCTGAGAAAATGTATTTTTTACCCAAAGTGTGGTAGAAATATGGAACATGCTGCCTGAAAGGGTGGTAGAGGCAGTTGCTCCCATAACATCTAAGAAGCATCTGGGCTATAGTGAACTTTGGACCAAGTGCAGGTAAATGGGATTACTGTAGTTTTGTGTTGTTGATCAGCATAGACATGTGGGGTCGAAGGGCCTGTTGCTATGCTGTATGACACTAATTCACCAAATTTAGCAGCGTCATAGCAACAGCAAGGCATACTGGAAGATCAACCTTTAATCTCTCCAAAATCAAACAGATGGTTCAGCTTTTATATTTCTTTGGCATTGACAGTGAGACTACTTTCAATTAGATATTTGGAACAGAAACCCAACTCGCCTCTTGAACGTTTCATGGAATAACAGGATGCTTCCTCCATTCTTGATAAGTTAAAGATACGTTTAGCTGCTCACAAATGTGAAACAATCCAGATCAAAGTCCTCTCTGTCTCTTGCTCTAGCTAGCAGCCCTCATGCCAACAGTAGAACTGATAATCCATCTCCGCCTCTTCACTTCATTCCCCGATGTAAATTGTCAGCTGCACTCCCCATCTCTCATTACTATTCACCGCAGTCAAAGACCTATCCTTCCCTCGACTGTCCCATATGTATCTGTCTGCATAGCTGACAACAATGCCTCTCTTTGTCTCGCTCTCTCTCAGTTTAATCCTCTTTCTGGCTCTCATGGCCAGCTGTATGTGGAGAGAATTTTATTCTGTATTTAACCCCATGCTATACCTGTCCTGGGAGTGTTTCATGCAGACAACACAGAGGGAGCTTTAATTTCAGTTTAAAATAGTAGAAGCATTTTTTTCCGCTTAAAATAATCAAGGAAACTTTACTTTTGGTTCAAAGGAGTAGAGAGAGCTTTACTCTCATTTTAACAAAAAAGTAGAGAGAGCTTTAGTCTATATCTAACTCCATACCAAGCCTGTCCTGGGAATATTTGATTGGGGGAAAGCAGAGAGAGCTTTATTACAATTAGGAAAAATCTTTTATGTTTGAGATTGCAAGTCAAGACAGTGGGCGTTGTAATGTATTGAACAATGAGGTTCATCATTTGAGCCCAGCGTTCAGCTCTCCTGATGTCTGCAGCTCAGGTGTTTCCCAAACAAGTAAACTTTTTGGTCTTTTGTTATATCACTGTACTGGGTTCAGGGGAGGGTTCCGAGAATGATCCCCGGGGTGAAAGACTTGTCATTTGAGGAGCAGTTGAGGACCCTCGGTTTGCACTCGATGGGAGTTTAGATGGATGGAGGGGATTTTATTGAAACATCTAGAATAATGAGAGGCCTGGATAGAGCAGAGAAGAGTAAAGGATGACCCTTTAGAACTGAGATGAGGAGGAATTTCTTCAGCAAAGGTTGGTTAATATGTGGAACTCATTGCTACAGAAAGCTGTGGAGGCCAAGTCATTGAGTTAATTAAGACAGAGCTAGGTAGGTTCTTGATTGGTCTGGGGATCAAGAGTTAATGGGGAGAAGGCAAGAGAATGGGGTTTGACAAACATATCAGCCGTGGTCATATGCTTGAGCCAACTTGATGGGCCGAATGGCTGAATTCTGCTTTTATATATCCTGGTCTTAAGCCACTCACCATCCTGACTTGGAAATATATCAGCTTCAGTGCCACTGGGTCAAAATCCTGGAATTCCTCCCTTGCGGCATTGTCGGCAACCTACAGCACATGGGCTGCAGAGGTTCAAGGCAGCTCACCACCACCTTCCCAAGGGCACCTAGGGGCAGGCAATAATCCTTGCCTAGCCAACAAAGTGTACATCCCATGAATGTGTGTTATAAACAAGCCATGACTGATCTGAATTGGCCAACATGTTTCAGAGATAGTAGGAACTGCAGATGCTGGAGAACCTGAGACAACAAGGTGTAGAGCTGGATGAACACAGCAGGCCAAGCAGCACCAGAGGAGCAGGAAGGCCGACGTTTCATCCAGCTCTACACCTTGTTGTCTCTTGGCCAACATGTTGGATGGGTTGAATGACCTCTTCCTGTTCCTGTTAGAACTTGGCTGTTGCTCTTCTTTTTATGAACATACTTAAGTCAATTTTAGTTTGCTAACACTTAACATCACCTACCTCAGCACATAGTAGAGGTTAAATTGGAGGTCTCTATGAATTGCTCAGTTTTACAGTATGGTTTACTGTTATCTACTGAACAATTGGCAGATGGCTTGTTTTAACTGTTGAATTTGAGTTTGATTTTGCTAATGTACAGGCATGTCCAGAAAGATGGTCAAATAACAGGAACAGACAGAGGGAACTTCAATGTAATAACTCATTATGACACACAAGCCTAGCAGCTTGCCCTCAATGTTACACAAACATGTGCTTTTTTAATTTATTTATGGGATGTGAATGTTACTGGCTAGGCCAGTGTTTATTGCCCATCCTCAATTGCCCTGGAAAAAGTGGTGACGAGGTGTACCAGCTCATGTAAGACCATAAGACATAGTAACAGAAGTAGGCCATTCAACCTATCAGGGGTGTCAGCACAGGTCAACAGGGTGGTGAAGAAGGCATCCAGGATGCTAACCTTCAGTAGCCAGGGCGTAGAATATCCGAGCAAGGAAGTTACTACTTTCTAACACATTGACTCGGCCACAGATGGAATACTGTGTGCAGTTCTGGTCACCACACCATCTGAAGGACGATATTTCTCTGGAGAGTGTACAGAGGAAATTCTCCACATTGTTGCCAAAAATGAAAAGATTCAGTTATGAGGAGAGACTGGACAGGCTGGATTTGTTTTCCTTGGAGCACAGGAAGTTGAGGTGTATCTGATTGAGGAATACTGAAGGATGAGAGGCATAGACAGTGTAAATCATGAGAATCTTTTCCTCACGGTAGATGCGTCTAAGATCAAAGGGCACTAGTTTAAGGTGAGGAGTAACTGATGTAGAGGAGATCTGGGGAAAACCTTTTTCCACCCAGTGGGTGGTATAAATGCGAAATGCGCTGCCAGAAAGGATGGTGGACGCAGGTACCCTTGTAACATTTAAGAAGCATCTGGATGAGCACTTAAAATGCTAGGGCATAGTAGGCTATGGACCAAGTGCAGATAAATGGAATCAGTGTAGTTTAATGTTTTTTGGTTGACATAGACATGGTGGACCAAAGGGCCTGTTTCTAAGTTGTATGACTCTAAGTCTACTCTGCCATTCAATAAGAAGATAGCAGATCTGATAATCCTTAACTCCATTTTCCTGCATTTTTCCCAAAATCATCTATTCCGTTATTGAGTAAAAATCTATCCCTCTCTATCTTAAATATGCTTAAAAACTTAGCCTTGACAACCCTCTGCAGCTAAAAATCAATTCCAGATTCACTAGCCTCTGAAAGAAGAAATTCTTCCTGAATCAGTCTTAAAGGTGAACCCCTTGTCCTACATTCTCCCCCAAGCGAATACAATCCTTCTCCATCTATTTTGTCAAGGCCCCTCAAAATCTTGTATGTTTCAGTAAGGTCTTCTCTCATTTTCCTCAACTCAAATGAGTACAAGCTCAACCTACTCAATCTCCCTTCATGTCACATGCTGAAGCTATACAACTTTCCATTCGAGAGGAGTGGGCAGCACTAACCAAGGATAGAGAAAGCACATCCACAGCAAGGGAATACTAGGTTTCCTCACTTCAAACACATTTACAGGGAAACATTTCAAACTTTATTGGGGAAATTGGTGATGATGCAGTCATCACCCCCAGAGATAACGCTTGTATGGAGTTTGGTAATTTTCCATTATTGTTTAGTACATTTCTATTGGTGTTTTGATCCTTCTTTGCTACAGTGTCCTATTAGGGGCTGTTTAAGTAATTTATTAGATTACTTTAGAAAGTAACTAGGAACCACAACACCAGAGTTTAACACCTTGTAGAGCTGTGGGCTCACTTCTACCCGGCTGAGAGGGTACATGGAATCTTCGTGTCATCAGCCACCTGAAAGACAGCGCCTCTGACAATGTCGCACTCCCTCAGGACCACACTGGGGTGTTAACCCCATTTTTTTGTTTGGTTGTTTGTTTGATGCTTTGGAGAGGAGAGGCAATTGAAGCAACAAATTTCGGTTGTGGATGTGGGAGTACGGCCATTACAGAGGGCTGACTTGGGTTCCAGAACTTTTCATGTAAGATTCCATAGGATCAGTTATTTCCACTGAAATGTTTCAAAACACCATTCAGGTTCATCTCAAATTCCTAAACAAGACCAGTACTTGGAAAATTCTCTTCAGTGCCACTCAATTGTGTCGACAGTATCTTAGTTCCATTGCTAAAAGATCAAATTAAGGTGAACTTTGTTTGATGGAGAATGAAATGGGCTGTGAGCACAGTGAAGTTTTTCAAAGCTTGGCACTGGTAGTACAGCTGCCTCTGAGATGTAGGTCTAGTTGGGGATTAGAACACTGGTTACGATATTCCCAGGGCAGCTTCCAGGTGCTAAGGATGAATCATGGAGGAACTGGCCTTGCTCACCTTTGACTTTGTGTCCTCATCAACACAGAAGCACTTAGTGTGGACCTTCCCACTCATCTGAGGTAGAGGTACACTCAAATTCTTCGTTGTCTTCACTTCAGCATTCCTCCGGCTCTTCAGAACGAGTGACTCTGTTGCACACTGCGAGGAAGACAGTTAAGAGTCAGTGACACACAACTCTTACTGAAAGAAAATGTTTTTTTTTAAAGTGAAGTAATTGCACTTGGGGAGTGCTAACATGGCAATGAATTACATTATGAATGGTAGACTGTAGAAAGTAGTTAAGATTACAGCGACCTTGATGTGTGCATATCCACAGATTCCTGAAGGTAGCAGGAAAGTAGATAATGTGGTAAAGAAGGCACATGGGATACTCGCCTTTATTAACCGTGGGACTGAATAGAAGAGCAAGGAGTTTATGCTGGAACTGAATAAAACACTGATTAGACCATAATTGAAGTACTGTATGCAGTTCTTATCATTACATAATAAGAAGGATGTGATTGCACCGGAGGGAATGCAGAGGAGATTTATCAGATTGCTGCCTGGGCTGGAGGGTCTCCCCTACGAGGAGAGATTGGGTGTACTGGGGTTGTTTTACTTGGAATAGTGAAGGTTGATAGGGAGTATCTGATAGATGCATATAAGGTTATGAAGGGCATAAATAGGGTGACTAGGAAGACATTTTCTGTTAGTAGAGGGATCAATAATCAGGAATCATAGATTTAAGGTAAGAGGTAGAAGCTAGGAGCAGAGTTGAAAATTATTTTCACTCAGAGAGTGATGAGAGTCTGGAACTCACTACCTGAAAGAGAATTTCAGTCAGAAACTCTTACAGCAGTATGAGTTTAAGCGGTATTTAGATATTCATTCGTGTTGCCATAGGTCTAAATTGTCAGATCTATTTGGCTAGCACAGACAAAATGGGACGAATGGCCTCTTTCTGTGCTGTAGATGTCTTGAGTCTATGAATAAAATTTAGTTCAATTTCCACTCATCTAAGATGTTCATCTGCTCAGCCCCATGGTCCCACATGGTCATTTAGATTTTTAGATTTAGATTTTTTTGGACTGGAGGCCTGTGACCAGTGGTTTTCCACAGGAATTGGTTCTGGGTCCTCTTCTGTTTGTCATTTATATAAATGATTTGGATGAGAATATAGAAGGCAAGGTTAGTATGTTTGCGGATGACACCAAAATTGGTGGCGTAGAAAACCTTCTTCACTGTCTACTAAGATTACAAAGTGATCTTGATCAAATGGGTCAATGGGCTGAAAAATGGCAGGTGGAGTTCTATTTGGATAAATGCAAGGTATTGCATTTGGTACAACAAACAAGGGTGGGGCTTATACAATTAATGGTAGGGCCTTGGGTACTGTTGTAGAACAGAGGGGCCTAGGGATTCAGGTACATAATTCTTTGAAGTTTGCATCATATATAGACAGGGTGGTTAAAAAGGCATTTGGCACACTTGCCCTCATTGCTCAGTCCTTTGAGTGTAGGAGTTGGAAAGTTATGTTGAGGTTGTACAGGACATTGGTGAGGCCTCTTCTGGAAAACTGTGTCCAGTTCTGGTCGCCCAGTAATAGGAAGGATATTATCAAGCTGGAGAGGATTCAGAAGAGATTTACCAAGATGTTGCCGGGTATGGAAGGTTTGAGTTATAAAGAAAGGCTGGATTGGCTGGGACTTTTTTCACTGGAGCATAGGAGGTTGAGAGGCAATCTTATAGAAGTTTATAAAATAGTGAGAGGTATGGATAGAGTTGATGGTAGTTGTCTTTTCCCTAGGATGTGGGATTTTAAGACTATGGGGTGCATTTTTATGGTGAGAGGAGAGAGATTTGAAAAAGACAAGAGAGGCAAATTTTTTTACACAGAGGGTGGTTCACTTGTGGAATGAATGAGCTGAGGAAGTGGTGGATGTGGGTACAATTACAATGTTTAAAAGATGTTTAGATAAGTACATGAATAGGAAATGTTTGGAGGGATATGGGTCAGGAGCAGGCAAGTGGAACTAGTTTAGTTTGGGACTATGTTCACATGAACTGATCAGACAGAAGGGTCTGTTTCCGTGCTGTATGACTGTGACTCCACGAAGAGCATTCCACCCTAACCCAGCGCAAAGACGTGCAGGTTAGGCGGAATTGTCTTGCTAAATTGTCTGTAGTGTCTAGGGATGTGCAAACTAGATGGAGTATCCATGGTAAATGTGGAGTTACCAGGATAGTGTGGGGTGTTGGTCTGGGTGGGATGCTGTTTGGAAGGGAAGTACAGAATCAATGGGTCGAATAGCCTCTTTCTGAACCAAGCCAGTCACCATCTTGACTTGGAAATATATTGCTGTTCCTTCAATGCTGCTGGGTCAAAATTTTGGATTTCCCTCCCTAAGGGTATTGTGGGTCGACCTATAGCACATGGACTCCAGTGGCTCAAGAAGGCAGCTCACCACTACCTTCTCGGGGGCAGTTAGGGATGAGAATAAATTCTGGCCCAGCCAGTAATGCCCACATCCTGTGAGTGAATAAATTAAAAAAAAGTGTTAACTGCCGGCCATTCCACAGGATGAATGCAGGTAATAAGTCAATTAACAGAACAACAATGACTGTTGAGTTGAATTCCAGTGACTGGGCAGAAAGGTGGATTTTGAAAAAAGGCTTTGTATCATTAAAGGCACAGAGACAGTTCAGAACAAACCATCCATAAGGTAGACTGAAATGAGATTTCGAGAGGGACAACCCCCCCAGAGAGAAAAGTCAGGACCAAACCTCCAGAAGATGACCCGAAGCTGAGACTTCAAGAGGAGTACAGCTGCACCAGGCCTGATCAACCTGAGGACAGACTCAGACGCACATGGGGACACACACACACACACACACACTTATATAACTACAGTACTTTGTTAGTATGTTGCTTTTCATGCAGTAAAGATGTGGCTGTTTGGACGGTAATTTGTTTCTCATGGTATTTATATAATATCATGTGGGACATGCTTCTGCACAGGCAGGTCCACACTGTCACTTACTTTGACTCCTGGGATCTCACAACAGGTCAGCTTCTCTGCCACGAGAGGATCACAGAACAGGATCATCTGTTGTAGGTCAACCTGTGCAGTCAAACAGGACAACGGCATTAGGAGAGACAAGTTCAGATTGTTCCAGAGATAGTAGGAACTGCTGATGCTGGAGAATCTGCGATAACAAGGTGTAGAGCTGGATGAACACAGCAGGCCAAGCAGCATCAGAGGAGCAGAAAGGCTGACGTTTCGGGCCTAGACCCTTCAGTTGGGTTTATTCAGTCAGTGTAGCCAAAGGCCCTTGAAAACGGAGACAGTGAGTGAAGGCTGGAGCTGTAGGATGTGGTTTCGTTCCCTTCTCCCCACTAATACCCCCCCACGTCACCCCCCAACTTCTGCTTCCTCACTTGTACAGTTGTCCTTGCCTGAAGCTAGTGACCGATGTTTGTGTAAGGCAGGAGGTTGGGGTTAGTGATGATGGGCTGTTCAAACAGGCATCAGAAGTCCCATGTCATACATGCCCATGTGCTTATTATACTTATTATGGAGGTTGACAGCCACTTCTACCATGAAAGGAATTGCCAAAAAGCATGACCCTGGCCTCATCCAATGTCTGTCCACATTCCCTTGCTTACAAGAATCAACAGGCACCAAGCAAAAATCAGCTTGAGACTTCGTACATGTCATGGGAGTCAATGTGTGGGCTCAGTGTTCCTGCTTCAACGAACTGAGGCCAGTTCTAGATCCTGTTCGTATCTCTGTAGAAGCCACTCTGGCTGAGGGTGACACTTGCTCAGAGCAAGAACCTGCACATGGAGTCATATAATATGGGGAGGCTGCTGTGCTGCAGCTATCTCTATGATTCCGTCTAGGAAAGTCTCCCAATCTTACAACCTCCAGTAGTTCTGTCAGAGGCATTTGCAGATTGACAACCAACGAGTTTGGCCTATAATGATACAGTTTGCACAGCCATTAAGTCCTGAGGTATGATGTGAACACAGAATTCTGACCCAGAGTTTGGGATGTTATTCACTTCTCCACCATCCCTCCCCATTCCTACACCGGGATGTAGTTTGTTCTCCTGAACCATTGGAAGATTTGCAAAAATTACTCCTGAAAATTATCCACTTGAATTCCTCTGCAAAATCATGCAGCATTCATCTGACAAGCAAGAAAGGGTGAATTCCAGCAAATGGCAAACGTATTAAACTCTCAATAGCATGAGGCTGGTGCAAATATTGTGACAAGAAAGATTTCTCAGATTTAATTTGTTCTTCTGCCTCGTATCATGACTGTGACTGGTGCAGGATGTACACAGCTTCTGAGGAGTGTCCCTCACTCAGCATGTCCCTTTGATCTCTAAGGGTATAACCTGGACAGTTAGGGCTCTTGTGGCACAGTGGTAGTGCTCCTACCTCTAAGCCAGAAGGTACAGGTTCAAATTCCACTTGCCCTAGAGGTGTTTAATAGCATCTCTGAAAAGGTTAAAATTAAACAAGTAACTGCGGATGCTGGAGATCCGAAACAAAAGCAGAAATGGTCTGGCAGAGTCCTTAGGAAGAAAGCAGACTTAACATTTTGAACCCAGTGACTCCTCGCTTCTGTGAGTTCTGTTTAGTTAGGAAATTAAAAGGTGAGCGATGAATCATGAATTGAACGGTGAAACAGGCATGAGGGGTTGAATGGCCTCCCATTGTTCCTACATTTGTAATGGCCCTGAATGCCCATCCTTCCCATTGGGACACTTTCACCGAGTGGTGAGGAGTGGAGAACTGATGCTGGTGTCCCCTGGCCCAGCAGTGAGTCAGAATTCTCTAACAAGAGATAACTGAGTGACTTGCATCGTCTAACTCAATCCTCATCATTATCACCGAGACACTGGGTTTAGGTTGGAGTCCCAATGACTGCTGCTGGTCCCTCCAATCCCTTCGCCCTACCCCAGAGATCAGTGTTGCCACAGGAACCATAGAAACTGTGGGTTAGACACTAACTTCAGCTGGCTTGTTGTCCTCAGCGATCCTGCTCATGACAGTCTGACCCTCAGTGTTGATGTCAGCTCTCTGTTCCACCGATTTGATCTCGATCAGACGACAGTCAATATAGAGGGAGGCCACGTTTGCCTGCACACTGACCACCAGTTTGTGCCACCGAAGATCAAACAGAGCAGCCACTCCTTCACTGCTGAACACCCAGCGCACATAGTCCTGGAAGTGACCTTTCGCCTTGTACTCCACCGCTTTGTCCCTTCCGTCGATTCGAATGGAAAACTGAATATGACAAAGAAAACCAATCAGAGAAGAAGGGCTAAACGTCACACACAGTAAAGAGCAAATATAATATTATCTTGATTTTTAATCACCGGGTAAAATCAGTCTGGGGTTCTCTGATCTCCATTTTAACTGCCGCTGGTAGAAAACGAGAAAAATGGCATTCATAGGGATGGAAATAGCTGGAGATGGGAGAACTATTGCAGAATTCCAGCAATTACTGGTGGCACCAGAATGACTTAGTTGACAGATCTCGCCTCCATACCCCACAAATCCTGGGTGCTGAGATCAGAATCACACCCTGCTCATATTTAGGACCAAGAAACAAATTACATTCATAATATATCTTCAGCCAATGTAGTAGTTTTGGCATGTAGCGACTGTGGGAAATGTGACAGCCAAATGTGCACACGGTAAACTCCCATAAGTTGCAATGCCATAGTAACCAACTGTTTTGCAGAAGGATGAATATTGGCCAAGATACCCAAGAGAATTTGCTACTATTTTAGGTTTGCTGTAGTCAGAATTGGCACAGTCCATCAGGAGACCGTTTATCCTATAGTGAGAGGAGGAAAGAAGCCCATCTAAGGAAACTGTCAAATTACTGTTTGGAATCATCTGGGGCCTCAGCATCATCAGGGCCACAGGAGACCCATAACCTCCCCAGTCACCACCCTACCACCTCCCACAATTTGCCATGCCAACAGTCGTCATAGTACCAAGTTCAGGTTTTGTTCCAGTGACAAGGAGCAGGTACACGTTTGACACCTCTGCCACCTCCCCCCCCACCCCCCCCCCACCCCCCCACCCCACCGGCTCCCCCACCCCAAGTTGTTCATAAATGAGACCGAAGCCCCAAAATAGCAGGAGGCCTTTTCAACTTCAGAACGGGAAACTGACTGGAAGTCAAAATAAGTGGCCAACCTATTTAGTGAAGTTAATAGCAGATAAAGCCAGATTCGCTGAATTCCAGCTGGGCACTGATGGTTTATCTTGTGACCTGGTCACTATGTAAATGTAGCACTGACAGAGCTGAACTATGCTATCTTTATATTACCTGAGTCAGGCCCTGCTGATCAGTGATTTTGATCATGTACCAATTCTCCTTCACTTTCTTCTTTTTCAGCAGCATCGTTGCAAGAAAGGTGAAATCCTGTGGCAGGCCCTGAGGGAACACCTGTCTGAAATATTGGAAAAATATGGTCTCACCAAAAGCTTGCTTTTTCAATACATATATATCAGGAAATGATTTTAAATCCATTGGCTGGAAATCTGATTTCAACATTTTTTTACAACAAATGGTGACTTGTGTTTGTAGCCAAAGATGCCTACACAATTTGCATCATTATATGTTCCATATTCCAACCCAGTGAGTAGGGTCATCAAGTATTGCAAAAACCCTTCGAAGGCAATGACCCCTCAAGAATATGTGAATCTTTCTCCTACCAATAAAGCATGAAGACAAAACTGCCTGGAAATGGGTTGGGAATAGTTAGGAAGTTGTTTATGGCTTGCATGGACACAATGAAGGGCCTTTTTTGGTTCTGTAGAGCTCTATGTCTCTACAGGTGGCAACGAAAGGGACTCTAGATGAGGGGGAATTGCTAGCCAGGAAATAATCAAGTTACAGTGGGAATGTATTAAGCCACAACCATGCTTGAATCTTTGGATGAGGTTATGTGACAAGCCAACCCTTTGTGTTTCATCATTTACTTTCTCCATCGTATGTGACAGGTAGCCAAGGTGTGGAAGGAAGAAGACCCAACTGGGATCCCTCCTTCCTCTCTCCTTCTGAATTACACTTAGTGAACCATCTCAAGTCTGCTGAGCGTTACATTAACAATGAATTTAAGATTATCAGTTGGGCTCGCAATGTGGCTAAATTCCTTTTATTACAATCTACCATCAGTTCATTCAGAGTCTTGACTTCTGCAAACATGAAGAATGTGTCCAGGAACTGCAACTTTTTCAATAAAACAAAGGCTTGGGAGACTATGATAAAAGAGATAACAAGGTGTAGAGCTGGATGAACACAGCAGGCCAAGCAGCATCGTAGGTGCAGGAAGGCTGACGTTTCAGGCCTAGACCCTTCATCAGAAA